AGCTCAAGACTTGAAATGGGGGCCGCTCCATCTCCAAGGGCAGCTCAGCGCTCGGGCTGAATCCTCCCCCAAGATCTCCCCCAGATTCTGCGTCTGGACACCCCCTCGTCAGCTGCACATTTGTGCCAGCTTTGGGTAGCCAGCAAAATTCTCCAGCTGCTCTGCCAGTCCGCCCCCGCTTCCCTTGCTTTATACAGGTGGAACGCATTTCCAGCAAGCTTCTCCTGGGCTTGTCTTTCACTGGAGGGGGAGGCAGAGTGCCCACCCCCCTGCCTGCCTGCCTGCCTGCCTGCCTGCCTGCCTGCCTGCCTCCCGGTCCACCTTTGATCCTAATTCAGCTGGCGGCAGGCTGCTCCTGAGCGCTTGCCAGGTTCTGCCCTTGGTGAGGACGGAGGGGAGGAAACACGGGCTGGCTGTGTAAACAGGCCCTTCCTTCTGTCTCCTGCAGTCACTGCCGTGGAGGACGCCGGGGTCTTCCATTTCAGGAAAGGGTGGAGGTACCAAGGAAGAAGCTCCGATGAACTCCTTAGGAAGAGGGGTTAGCAGAGTCTGTCATGAGACTTGGCTCTAGAACAACTGTTTTGGAGAAGGAGAGACTCTTTTGCCAAAGAGCATGATTAGAGAACAAGTCGTTTGTTACACATTCAATGTTTACCGAAGAAAGCTGAACGCAGTCCCCTACTGGGCACATCTGCAAACAGGTGCCGCTCCCTAAACATGGTTTCTCACAGGCTGGCTTGGCTCCCGGGAGGCTGAGAAGGCTCCTACGTCCCAGGTTGCTAAGGAGTTTGGTGTTTGTTCTCAGTGGAAGGGGGAGAACAAGGCTTCTCAGCCTGTAAAGGTCTTTGGAAACAATCGGGTCAAGCCAGATTAGAAGGACGGCACTGTCAGGCCCTTGGCCGTCACGTTCTAGCCAAGCGGAATACGGGGAGCAACCGGTCGGAGGAAGCCTTTGTGTCAGTGGCTCCCTTGGGGTCCTCCCTACCAAGAGCACAGGCTGCACTCAGGTTTCAGACCTGGGCACTGCAGCCTGGACAGGCAATGGCTTCACTGCTGCCGAGAAGCCAGTAGGTCATCTCCCCGTGGTGACTGAGTAAGGATCCACGGAAGGTAACCAGACTTCATTGCCTTGTAAATAACGGCTATCAAGAGTTTACAGGGTCGACCGCCAAACAGAACTAAGGTCCCCGTTGGATCAGACAACGGCCCATTCTGTCCAGCTTTCGGATCCCACAGAACCCACTGGGTGTATCTCAGAACAAGATTAAGAAAATCCCCCAGAACTGCACAGCCACCACCATTATATAGCCTGCACGATCAATAGCTACTAACGATCAGTGTAACTTTCTCCTCCATGCGTTCTCTTGTCCCCCGAAAATCCCATCAACTTTGGCAACCGTCTCCACATCTTGCGGTGGAGAACTCTTTAGCGTAATTATGCCGTACAAAGAGAAGTCTCCGCCGTTGGGCCTCCTCTGCTGATCCACGGGGTTCTGGTATTATCACGGAGGCGACAGGGAAACCTCTGCTTCTTCACTGACGTTGTAGGCTTAGAGACTGAAGGGACAGGAGGCAGGCTAGGGGAGGCTGACTACTAGTTAGCGCTGGCCTTGGAAGACCAGCTGCTGAGGGACAGTGGAGGGAGGGACTGCCTTTCTCTCATGACGGTGGGCTTCCCAGAGACACCCGGTGAGCCCCTGCGGGCTCTCCCCCTTCCCTGGAAACTCAGCCCCCTCCCCCTGCTGTCTTTTCATTTGTCTCTGAACCTGGGCAGAGGGGGGGCTTGGTTGCCCCGCTTTGCAATGACTGCTGGGTTTGAAACCAAACAAAGAGGCAGGACAGGAAGAAAACACGTGGGTGGGACGCGTGCCTTCACTGGGCGCCCGCTTCTGCACCCTCCTGTTGGTCAGCTGGAGGGGGCAGAGTGGCGCCCTTGGAGCAAAGGGTCTGGGGCAGTGAGGATAGCTGCTGGAGGAGGGAATGAAAACAGCGGCAATGTGGATACGTGCGCACACGTGCCCCTGTTTCCCACCGGCTCCCCACTTCAAAGGGTCCTCCCTCGGCAGACCCACCTTGGGGAAAAGAAGCAGCACCCACAGTTTAGCTGTAGTCCTGGGGCGGACTAGTGGGGGTTGGGGCAATAATCTGCAGTTCACGGAGCAGCATTTTGCAGGTCAGTGCAAGAATAGAAGAGGACAAACTGCAGATGGTGGAGATCTAAGTTTTGTCCCCCCTTCTAGATGACCATCACCACCATGAGAAGGGAACACCTGTGGACGAGTTGTCCTTCCCATCTCCAGCGCCTCCAACAAGCATCACCTCTGGTGAGAAGCTCTGGGAAAGGACCCACGACCGGCGTGGGTTTCGTTCCCCCTGCAGCCGACTCACTCTGACGCTCCTCCTGGCCTACCGACCTCTCACTGCCACGTCACAAAGTCGGCAGAAGCGAGCTGCTGTCCACAGCCCTTTTCACTTCTTTTGTCAAACACTCATTCCTCACAACCAATTACATACTACCCCTCCCTTTCTGCCAGCATTTGCATCATTTAACATTTCTCCATACAAATTCACTCTGCTTGCTCTAACTGTTTGCCCCTTATCTGTAACCTGGCACTGCTCACTCTGTTTTCTGTGTCAAACCCAAATACCTTTGCTTCAATGCCTTATTTTCAGTTCCACGCTCCTCAACATGTTACACAATCTATCTAATATTCACTGCAAATCATTTTGCTTCTCAGCAAGTGACAAAGCATCATTTGCGTACCAAAGTCCATGTACATCCATGTCCTCAATCAACACACCTCTAATGCCATCACCCGCATTCCTCATCCATTCACCCATAAAAACCAAGGGGAAGTCTCACATCCTCGTCTTCCTCCCTGCTCATCGTCGTACCATTTGCTAAGCAGTCCATTGATTCTTGCACATGTTTTAGTTCCTTTATACACTGCTCATTTCAGTGTTCAGTAGCCCGGGTCTTAAAATAAGGAAAAGCACTTCCTTTAAGATTACTGAATTGCCCCACAACTCCAGTACTCAAACCCAGATGTGAGAAGGAACATAGAGGAACGCCAGGTTTGGAAAAGGGACAGTGTGGTTCCTTTTCCACCTCGGATCGAACTCCAGGAATACTAGATTCCCAGGACAGCTAAGGAGAGTGTTTCGAGCGAGGCCATGTGTTCAGCGACAAAGAAGACTGGACTGAGAGTGGACACACAATGTCCTCATCTCTCCTTATGGAAAGGGTGGTCTGGAATCAAGCATCAGACATCAGCTCTCAGCTCACCATCTCTGTATCTCATCTTGTATGGACCTTCTGGCTGGGACAAGAGCAGATTTAGCCTCTTAGGTGATCTCAAAATCTCCCCTAGAGGAAAGTCCATGTAACCCCAGTCCCAGGCAGCCACGGCCTGCACAGGCAACCACAGGAAAGGTTCCCTCCTTGTAGAAAACCATTAGTATTTTGCTTTTCAGATGGGAGGAAGCGTTCCACGTTTATTTATACCATCATATAAAACACTATACAAAGCATCGAGCAGCCCCATGTGAGCTAAATTGTTAAAAAAGGGGAAATAGCCAATTACCTTCTGATATGATGCAGTATAACAGAGCTTCTAGCAATTGTGATCGAGCAGCGTCTCCCCACCTTTTTTCTCCTTTTGAGATTTCTGAGGATTTATCAGCTAATTAAAAAGGGTATTCTCTTCCATAGCACAGCTGGAGCAATAGCCTCAGATTTCCCTCCGGGGGATTCTCAGCCCCATCACTGATACCCCGAGGGTCTGAGAGGGCCTGACAAGGGATCAGGCAACGCACCCCAGATCTAGACTTACGCAGCAACAGGAGCCGTTGCAGCGCTGCCCTTCGGGAAATTGTGAAGAACGCCAACTTTTCTACCTATGGTGCCTCCATCCCCTCCCAGGGCAGCTCTTAGGCCCATTGCCGAAACCAGCTTTTCCCAGGTCCTCACTCTGTTGAGACGGTGGCACGGCTGCCTCGCCACTGGAAGGAGGCCGAGAGCCGTCCTCCAGAACAGGAAGGGAATGTCCAGGCTGGGCTTCCCAGAGCCCCCCTCCCCACACCTGCAACCCATGTGGCTCCATCCCTCCGGCCTCTGGACATGTCCCCTCCTCTCACTGACAGAGGCTGCTTCCCTTCCCATTCAGGACCCCCCAAGTACGGTCTGTGCCCAGCCACATCTTCTGGACTTCCCCACCCCATCACGGCCTACTGCCTGGAGGACAGGCGCTGCCCAGGGGACGAAAAATGCTGCCGCGTTGGGAATGTCAGGAAATGCATCCTTCCAGAAGGAGGTGGGTGACCCCCTCCCCACTCTGGTGCAAGGTGGACAGAGGGTTGGGGTGACAGATCTGGAAGCAGAAGGAGGAGGCTCCAGAGGGGTTTCACGTCCTGTCCCAGGATCCAACTCTGTTCTGCCAGGGGTGTCCTTTCTGGAAAGGGGTCAGAATACCTCCCCTCCAGTGCTGTGGCCCCCTTCTAAAGACCCCACAGATGGGACTGTAGCACACAAACCTGGTCCCACCTTTACCAGTGGCAATCAGCCAGAATTGCAGATGTGCCCACCAGGCAACCCGAGGGTCAAGTTCAGACCCAACTGCAGAAGATGCCAGGAAACCTCCTCGGCCTGAAGGGCCCACTCTGTGCCCACCCTTTCCCATCCAGTGCATCATGGTTACTGTCCCAGGCAGGAAGATGGTGCTGTCTACAAGAAGCCCTGTGCAGGAGACCACCAGTGCAGCTGGCATGAGAAATGCTGCAAGACAGACCATCACAAGAAGTGCACCCGAGCTGTGCCAGGTAGAGTATCTGCAGGGCACACGTCCCCCCTCCCCTGGAGGGCTTCAGATGGTTAGCTCACAGTGGAGGCATGCGAGCCCTGCAAAAATGAGGGTCCTCCAACTTTGGGAGTACCATCACCCATTGGGGCACACATTGGGGCATTCAAAGGAAATGACTTCCTGAAATGGCTGCCAAATGGAGAGAGCCCATCCAGGACCCTTCCTGCTAATTTTCATGCTGTTGAGGGGCGGGCACCAACCCAACCAACCCTCGGGCTAAGGGGCTATGAATACCCCTGAACTCACCTGGAAATCAGGAGGAGTCTGGAGGCTGGTTCTTTGCTTCACAGGATCCACCTTCCTTTTTAATTTGGTTTAAATAAATTAAATAGTAGAGTCAGCTGGGGGGTGGGGGGAAGCAAAGGAAGGCAGACATAGACTCCTTGGACCACAGGTGAATGGGTGCATGGGGGAGCCCTGCTTCTGTCCCCCCCAAACTGATGGGCTGAGCACCTGAGTGCAGCCCCTTCTCTTTGCTGTCCCCCCCATCCTAGCCCCTGCTGCTCCAGCACGCTTAACCCTTTCCCTCCCATCCAGCTGCCCTCGGCCTTTGCCCCAAGAGGCATCTTCCATGGGTCTTCACCCCCTGCACAAACCAGTGCAAAGATGACCGGTCCTGCCCCCGTGGGAGGAAGTGCTGCTATGCCGAGTGTGGCCTAAAGTGCGTCACCCCTGAAAGACATCATCCAGCAGAGCCTCAGAAACAGGGTCGGGATCAGGCTGAAGGGCAGAAGGCAGGTGAGGAAGCAGCAAGGCAGCTCCTGTGGGCCTCTTGCAGCCTGAGGGGTTCTGCAGAAGGTCCTCCAGCCTGTCCACACTCGCCCCAACTGTGGCACCTCCACAGCCACAAAGGCTGGCAACCTTTTTTTCCCCATCAACTCCTCGCCCTCTTGTCCGTGAGACAGGCTTCGGGCTCCTTGTGGTTCTGGTGCTCAAGTTATTTTCCAACCTTTGCCTGATCCAGTCCAAGGACAGCTACAAGGTGGCCCCATTTGTCACCTGGAGGGAACAGAGACAACTGAGGCAGGAGAGGGATCCATGGGGGATAAGCCATGGATCACCCAAGCCACGCCAGGATCATTTTCTGATGACTGAAGGAGCCTTTCAGCTCCACGGTAGGGAAAGGCCCTTTGTCTGCATAAATTCAAACTGGAACCAGCACGGTGCGCTCATTCCGGTCTCTCTGGAGAGGTGGAAGGCTAGTTGGATCCATGTGGTTTCGCTCCCTTTCCAAAAAACCAGGGATGCTTGGGCAATATAGGGTGACCCCGGAGCCCCCCAGGTGGCTCCTACCACCAAATCCATGCGCTAATCCATGTTCTGATCACTGTTTTAAGTCAGCTTCTTCCTTCTGCAGCTCCTCACCCACCCCGTCCCAAATCAGGCCATTTCTTCTCAAGGCTGTTCTGCACAGTCTGAATGGGCAGGACATGGAATAATAATGGATTTAAGTTACAGGAAGTCAGATTCTGACCAATGGTGAGAAAACGCTCTTCGCAGTAAGAGCAGCTGGAGAGCGAAGGGTAACTTGGGTGCCAAACGTTGAGGCCTGTTTTGCACCGCGGGGTTCCCAGGCTGGCTCCTCCAGGCGCAGAGGAACGGAAAGGCCCGAGAAACCAAGCCGGTCCGTAGCACAGCAAGCCTCTGCAGGGGGTGATTGTGGGGCAGAGCAGAAGCTGCCGGGCAGGGTGTCTCCGGCAGCCTGGCAGCTGTGGCTACCTGCATCAGAGGGTCTTTGCTGCACCGTAGGGAAAGATGGCAGAGGCACTCCGCCTTCCAAGGAGTCCATGGAGGTGCGGTGCCACACAGACCGAGACTGTCCCCACCAGAAGAGGTGCTGCGGGGGAGTGTGCAGGCGGGAATGTCAGCCACAAGGTAGGTCCCATGCCGACTCAGGGCAGGAGGGCCTCCGAGTGGCCTTGGAGGGGGCAGGAAGAAAGCCGGGAGGACAGCGGGGACTCCCCCTTCCCGGGAAAGCAGAGCCCCCCCACTTGAGCTGCCCTCTCCAAAAGCTGGCTCGAACATCAACATGCATCAGGTTCTCCTTTTGTGCAAATGCGCCCCTGTGTGGTGAAAAAACGCCCAGGCATGGAATGCATTTGCCAGGAGAGTTCAGCGCTTGAAATGGAGGATGTGAACTTGAGGTAAATCCGTTCCACTGGCAAATCGTTCCCAAGTCAAGGGAAAGCCAACCTGCCATTTCCCGGTTCATCCCCAGGCCCAGCAGACCCCAGACATGGTTAGCCAGAGCTGGCGGGAGCACCGAGCTCTGAAACGCCAGCCACTTGGCGCCCGGATCCGGCAGTGCTGTTCGGGGATTCGGTTCCGGCGTGCCAGGCAGCAAAGGAGCAAGCGAGAAGCAGAGCGAGGAAAGCGTTCCAGCAAGGGGCGGTGGGGGGGGAGGGATGTCACCACCCCACCTGAGTTGACCAAAATGTATGGAAAGCAGGATAAAAGTATAACAACAACTCCTGAGCCGGCTGAGTTGGAGCCGGAAGGACGGGCAGTTCAGGCCGTGCTGGATGGCAGCAGAGATCAAGGCTATCAGGAAGGAGGGGGTGCGTTGCAGGAGCGGGGAGGGGGCAAGAGGCAGCACAGTCTGCAGGGGGAGCGTGAGAAGAGAAGCAGGTTTGGGGTGGCCGCTCCCTGGAATCTCCCA